ACTGAATGCCATCTCGATGCGTTACATGTTTCACGCAAGGCGTGCGTTGCTTGCCTTGTTTTATAGTATCTGGCACTGGGAAGACAGGCTGAAAGATTTATGAGCTGGAGTTAATAGTAAAACAGCATATTACAGGCTCTATATTAATGTTCTTCTGCGCTGAAGTAGCTGGCTGTTTCTGGGGGAATTTATATGAGGATTGCTCGTCCTGTCGTTGCTGTGATGGTATTATAGGGTGGCCCGTCAGTCACCGTGGGGGGAAGCAAAGCAAGGATGCTGCTTCCCTCTCGGCTGGCAAATCAAAGGGAGAGGGGAAACGATGATTCCAGCAACTGCATCTGTGTATTAGCTGCACCTGCTGTGGGTATTGGGAACTGGGAAGAGCAAATGTCAGAGGCACAAAGGACAGGGAAGGAAATGAAGGAGGAAATAACAGAGGAAGATAATGTGGTCTGACAGTGGCCACGATTCAGGCTCGTGCGACGCACCTTGCCACCTCGCAGCTGCTCAGGGAAGTTGTGTGGTAGGACTGTCTCTTGAATCCCATGCTGGGATTTATCTGCCCCCATGTGCGCTGCCCTTAGCAGGGTTTGGGCTGAAGGTGCCATGGGGGAAAGCAGTAGGGGCAACTGGAGAGCAGTGCTTATTTAATGAATTCCCACAGATGGTGAATATGTAGGGGAGTCAGCCCCGGCACTGATTTGAGAGGTGGTGAGGAATGTGTGTTCTGGCATTTCTGCGGGGAGGCAAGCTGCATGAAAGAGTAGGCAGGTTCCCCTGGTCTGGAGGACCACGGGGAGAGGTCTTACGGAGGATTGATTCCTAAAGATAACAGAATATAGAACAGTATATTCCCTTTGGGCAGCAGAAAGCACCACTAGGGATGGAGGTAATATTCTTGGTCTTCTCCAGAGGCTGAGATAGCGGGTTAATGGTAAGATGAGAGCTCAGTTCATTGCTTTTGGTGTAGGGCAAGAAGACATTGATTTGTGGTAAGCCTGGAGCTCATCTGTGTGCAAGGAGAGTCAGACCCCATCGACTGGCCATGCAATATGATGCTGGACAATTCCATGCTGGGATATAATTGTGCTATTAGAGCAGCAAATGTCGAATCTTAGGAACCTGAGTCAAAGCGACCCTCTCAGTGTTAATATAACAAAATCATTAAAGATGGAATGTTAAGTGACTCCTTTGGTCAGAGACTGTCTTGCTGAAGATCCTGTCCCTGTGTCTGGTTAGCTCCATGTCTCTGGAGCCCAGAGTCAGTTTGGGGGTGGTTTGGAGGGTGCGTGTGGCTGCTGGCAGTGCAGGTAAGGCAGGAGGACGTTGGTGGAATTGAGGACATTGGAGGAGGCCCCATGCTGCTGCTCTTGCTGTGGGTGTTTGCATTCACTTGTCTGCTTTTGACTGGTTCATGACCCTGTACCCTCTTTAAAAGGCCTTCCTGTGCTTGTTTCAGAGCTTTGCGTTTATGTGCCACGTCCAGGTCTATTCTGGTCTGGCTTTGAGAGCTAATGAATTAACGTGGCCGTAACAGCTGAGACAGTGCACGGCCGAGTGCTTGGCACCTGGGATGTAGCAGCTCCCGGGGTGACTTGCCAAGAGGCACCTGTCTCTGTCGCAGAATTTTAGGAGGCTGGACAAGAGATGAGGAGCTTAATGTGCTACTAAAAACCTTGGCACTGGGTTTTTACATCCCTGACCCAGGAAAAAAATATTTCAAGGCCCTTTTATATTTTCCTGATAGGGTAATACATCCTATTTTTCACAGCCTGGGTCTGTTGCATGCTCCACTGGCAGTGTTTCTGAGTTTCTGATGCTCTGGCACAAGGGAGCACCCATTTCCGTGCCCAGGCTGAAACCCAAAGGTACCTTTCACACCTAAAGTGTGTGCACACCAGAAAGCTGTTTGTGAACAGCCAAGAGGTGAAGAGGAAATTATTCCAACTCCTAGCTAGCTAGCTAGCTTGCTTTTCCTCAAGGCCTATATCTGATTTTGTAACCTACCTTTTCAATTCCCACCTCCTGCAGCTGAGCCTCAGTTGAGCGAATTGGCTGAATTCCCACCTCAGCAGGTTCAGGTCTCTCCTGGTCACCCTCATCTTAAAGTCTCTGTCACCTCCGTGTCTCCTCACTACTTTACAGCCAACCACCATGTCCCAGGCTTGGGTCTGGAGCACAGGATCCCAGACTGAGCTAAACCAGGTCTAGCAGAGCTCTTCTGCTTGGGATCTGTGCTTCGGTGCCACTGCCTTACTGCTTGGCTATGGATTGGAGTCCCAAAACCACAGCTCCTTGTCGGTGCTAAATAAAAGCAATGTAAGATTTGGGGGTGCACAGGGCTTCCACTGAACTTGTCAGCACTCAGCACCTTTGAAAATTAGGCTGCACCTAGGTTTTACTAGATTGATAGGGTTTAGAAACTGTAATTGAAGTTGAAACCTCTGATGGGAGGGGTACACTAAGAATGACTTTGTACAAAGCAAAAAATTTAAAGAAACTATACCTAGGATATCCTCAGTGGGATGAGAAAGTAAAGACAGGAGGAAGGCAGGGAAAAAATTGGGTTGACAGGTGTTTTTAAGAAATACATTATTGTAAACTGGCTACTTGTGTATTAGCAGGAGGGTGAGTGGGGAGAAAGCAGGGCTCTGGGAGGGCAGTGCTGGCAGCATGGATCAGGCTGTGAAAACACATAGCCAGGTGAGGGGTTTGCGAGGAGCTGTGAAGCTATGAATGGGAGGAGGTAGTTGCTTTTGCTGGTATTCAGCCCAGAGGTGACAAAAAGACAGATTTCCACTCTTGCCCCAAATGGCAGGTTTATAACATGCAGAAAATGGCACTGCCAGTCCCCTGGCAGGCGGGAAGGGCTCCGAGCTCCACGTGTGAAGTTTACTGTGCGAGAAGTTGGTGGCTTTGGTGGCAGACAGAGCAGTTTGGACCTGGCTTGGGAGCTTCATTTTCTGATGGTGACATGTCAGAGAAGTACAAAGGCAGGCTGTTAGAAAGGCTGTGCTTCTGAGCACACACTGTTGATGAAGAGAAAGGGGATGCGAGCATCCTTCTCCAGCTTTTAACCTTACTTTCTGCAGCCAAGCACTGAGCGATGTAGCATTTGGGCTCCTTTGTCAGTTAGCAGAGGAGTTGTGCTGCTATGCATAATACACGAGCTTTAAAAGCAAACATGCATGTGGCGGAGGTGTTGGAAAATCCCTGCAGCCATTGGTTTCCCAGAGTAGTGTTTACAATTGCAGAAATACGTTCACGTTGCTGCTGCTCAACTCCTGATCATAGGTAGCAGGAAGATGCTTCTTAAATAAACAGCCAAGCCTGTATGGAGATTTTGTTTCATATTCTTAAGGACGACTTGGTGGTTTTCTTTTTTCCCTCTGGAGGATGCTACTGTGGAGTTTGCTACAGAAGCTGGTGTATGTTGGCTTCTGGCACTGGTAGCAATTGCCAATGTGTAATGTCAGGGTAAGATGAAAGGCTACAAGAGAGGGAACGGGAGCCCTCCTATTCCTGGAGCAGTGCTCAGGACTCCTGAGGCTTCTGACTGGGAGGTGACTTTAAAAGGAGTAATAAAAAACCTTGCAAGCCTGACTTTTGTGCTTTGCCATTTGGGTGGTTATTCTGCACTCGATGTGGATGGAGAGACTAGTTCCAGGGGCCATCTAAGGGTGGGAATGAATGGGGAACGTTTCACTCCCAATGGGAGTGAAAAGGGAACCCATACGTTTTTGGGAAAGAGAAAATATTTTTGTCTTTCCTATCAGTAAGAATAACAAAGACGAAGTGACCAAACAGGAGTTGGCAGACTGCATCATCCTGTGCTCTGTCTCTCCTGGTAGCCAACAGCAGAGACACCGACAAGGATATTCACAGCAGGCAGATGAACAGTCATCTGCCCCCCATCAACATCCTTTCCTAATCCATAATAGCTAGAGGTTGGTTTCAACTCTGAAGGCGCAGGGGTTTATATCCTTCCCAAGATGTTTTCTAGCATTAGCTGTGTTTGCTCAAGCTATTCTTGTTATCCATACAGATGTGCAGCCTTTGCTCTCCACCTCTGCCCTATCGTTTCGGGCTAGTGAAGGGAACCGCACTCCCCAGGTTTCTCTGGGAGCACACCACTGAAGAGGATGTTCTCTGTCCTTGATATTTCTCAGTCTTAAAATCCATCCTGATTGGCAGCCAGCCCTCTAGCATCTGCTGGATTGGTTTCAAGATTCAGTGGGATTTTTTTTTTTTTTTTTTTTGCTTAACTCTTTATTCTCTTTTGTAAATTTTGCAGTTTACAGCTGAAATGGGGCTCACACAGATTTTTCACGTGGGACCAGGCAGCTTTTCAGTTCCTGAATCATAAACTTAAGAGAAGGTATTTCTGGAAAAAGTGTCAGGGTATCCAGAGGAGGTGATTCAGAGCAGAGGAGAAAATAATGTTTTTAAATAAGCAAGATGATAATTATGTGCTCAGATAGCTTCTAAAAATATGTCAGACATTTATTCTCAGAAAATCTTCCTGAGAGCCATTTGCAGTCAGATATGAAAACAGCTGGGGTTGTCATGGTGTGGTAGATCATCTCTGGTTAGGCTAGGGCTAGAATTATTGCCAAACAATTTGACATGTCTGTACTTTCAGCCTCTCACGAGTTTGTAAGAAATTCTGTGAAAGCCCCGTAGCAAGCAGGCTGTGGTTGTATATCAGCCATTAGTTCAGCCCTTCCAAAGCTTCTGATGTTTATTCAGTTGCTTGCTTGCTTTAGTAGGCACTGACATAAATGAGCCTCCTTGGATGAAATCCTGATTCCATTTAAGTATTGATTTCATCGATGCTAGGATGACAGCCTGGAGTTTGGAAGCATGAGGAGGGGTTATCCAAGCAAGCCCTCTACTGCATGGTGAGGGAGCCAGGTCCCACCTGTGGCTGAATTACAAGGTCCTGCATATTATCTGTGGGTGACTTACAATCTTTTTTGTTTGCTGTTGTGTGTTGCTGTAGAAGTGGAACACAGTTTCCAAGCTAAATGACAAAATACTCTTAAGCCATGGAGTCCAACCAGGAATCCTCGCTCTTCCTGGTGAAGATCTTGGAGGAGCTGGACACAAAGCAGAATACTGTTTCTTACCAGGACCTCTGCAAGTCACTGTGTGCGAGGTTTGATTTATCCCAGTTGGCCAAGCTCAGAAGTGTGCTGTTTTATACCGCTTGCCTGGATCCTAATTTCCCAGCGACTTTGTTCAAAGATAAAATGAGATGCACTGTAAACAATCAGCAATCAAAGAAAATCATGGTCGCAGCAGATATAGTAACAATATTCAACCTCATCCAAATGAATGGGGGAGTGGCCAAGGAGAAACTTCCAGTTGCAAGGCAGAAAGTGAAGAAGAAAGAGTCCTTTGAGTCCTGTAGATCCGACACAGAAATCTGCAACGTGGCAGACTGCGTGCCCAACTGCGAGCTGAACGACCAGGAGTTCAGCCGAGGCTTTCCAGTCAGGAGGTCTTCAAAATGCAGAAAGATGGACTGCAAAGACTGTCAACAGTTTGTCCCCTCGTCAGAACCCAACTTTTTACTCGGGGTTAATAAGGAGATGAAGGGCCGGGCTGCCTCTCTAGACAGACTGCAGGCGCTGGCATCCTACTCCATCGCCACTTCTCCACCATGCGAGATGCAGAGTACGTACTTCCCCATGAACATTGAAAATGAATCTATTTCAGACCAGGACTCCTTGCCTATAAGTGCAGGCATAAAAGAAACCTTCATTTCAAACGATGAGCCGTTTGTGATGCAGTCGTGTGTCCAGAAAAGAAATATATTCAAAGAAGATTTTCATAATCTGATTACAATATCTCCCAACTTAATACCATCCAACAAAAAGCCAGAAGATGGACACAGAGAGCCTCAGAACAGGAAAGAAAGCTCTAAGCAGGCTTTCTTCAACCACAGCTTTGAAATGCCATACAGCAGCCAGTACTTGAATCCAGTTTATTCTCCTATACCAGACAAAAGACGAGCGAAGCATGAAAGTTTAGATGATCTTCAGGCTTCGACTTATTTTGGCCCAACTACTATTCTTGGCCCCCAGGACACCAAAAAGTGGACTGGAAAGCCAACCAAGCAAACTGCTTGGCCAGCAAAAAGCTGGAGTTTAAATACTGAGGAAGTACCTGACTTTGAACGATCATTTTTTAATAGGAAGCAGTCTGAAGAGAAGCCACGATACCAGAGTTCGAACAACCCATCTCCAAACTTTCCTTCAGCTGAGAGGCATCAGTCCTACCTAAACGCGAAGGATCAGCAACCAATTATTCAGGCAAACTACGCTGTGAAACCAAATGGGCATAAACCCAAGGAAATTCCTTCCATTCTAGATGTGGAGAAACATGAGCCAGTCAAAAAATTTAAGGATAAAAGCATTAACTGTACTTCTGTTCAGATCTTAAGCATTGACAGGACCACGAGTGTTGGGACACAAACAGAGCAGCAAATTCTGGACCACAAGAAATGCAAGGATTTGTGTGCGGCGGGCCAAGCCAAGTACGGAGAGCGACACTCTCTTAAGCAGTCGGATGATGACTCTGAAATCGTGAGCGATGACATCAGTGACATTTTCCGGTTTTTGGATGACATGAGTATCAGTGGGTCGACGGGAGTGATGCAGTCTTCGTGCTACAACAGCACCGGTTCCTTGTCTCAGGTGCATAAATCAGACTGTGAGAGCTCACCTGAGCACAATTTGACTAAAATCTCCAATGGGAGTGCCTGTAACAAACTGGAGAAAGTGGTCCGGGCAGATATCAGTAACACAGATGATGAACTGAAAACAAGTGTCTGCAAATTAGTTTTGAGGATTGGTGAAATAGAAAAGAAACTGGAATCTCTCTCAGGCGTCCGAGAAGAAATCTCCCAAGTCCTGGGAAAACTGAGTAAGTTGGATCAAAAAATTCAGCAGCCAGAGAAGGTCAGCGTACAAATAGATCTCAATTCTCTGACAAGCGAGGCTGCGTCAGATGAGAGTAACTCCCCACAGATATTTCAGTGCCACAATACTCCTCATGGAGGCAAATTAGAGAATAATCCAGAATGGTGCTGTTCAGATGCCAGTGGAAGTAACAGTGAGAGTCTTCGAGTAAAAGCCTTAAAAAAAAGCTTGTTTACTAGGAGGTCATCCAGATCATTAACAGAGGAAAACAGTGCAACTGAATCCAAAATAGCAAGTATTTCCAACTCTCCCCGAGACTGGAGAGCTATTACTTACACCAACCAAGTTGGCATTACGGAAGAGGAGATGAAAGAGAGAGATGGAGGAGAAAATAAAGACTGGCACAGGAAATCTAAAGAGGTAATTTCAACTTTAACTCACATTATAAGCACTTAAAAATAATCTAGTTATGAATGTCTTCCATAGTCATCACAAGCCTCAGGGTATGACAATACTTTGCCCTGCCATATTATGCCTGTCTTTATTGTTATCATAACTGAGCGATTTTGCACCTATATCTTCTTGCTTGGCAGCTACAATATGGTCAAGTTGTTCCTTAAAACCACTTTGCTCTTTTGAAAAGGGAGGGGGTAATGTGGGTGAGATCTTTGGAAGAGGACTGTATTCTTCATCATCAATGGTGATACAAGGAGGCAGGTAATTAACTTGGTGAAAAGGGCACGGGGAAAATTGAAATTCTCTGGTGGTTGTTTTAGAAGGGATATTTTGAAATTGCATTGTGATGGCTTTTACCAGACAAGTATGTGCATATTTAAAAGGCAACAAAATAGATTCATGGATTCAAATCCCTCAGGAAAAGAATCCTTGTATGTGTACTGTGAGACGCAAACTGTGGTTATGTTCTCTATATCTGACTTTCCTACTCATTTACATGAGCCAAACCTCCTGCTGAGGAAATGAAGCATAGCTATGGTCTTGTTCTGGTTGCTCAGAAAAGCTCTGCCCATCCATCCCAACAGCTGCTTGCTGCCGTCTCCACAGATCACAGAGCCATCGTGGCCGTCCTTGCGCTGGGCTCTGGTCGCTGCTCAGCTGAAGCTGTGCATGGTGTGGATGGTTGTTTCAGTTTCATGGACAGGGAAGAGAGTGGGGATCCTTCAGCTCCCTTGTCAATCAGGACTGCATGATGGGCATGCCGTGCCCCCTTGGTCTGCCCAGGATGAAATGCTGACTTTGCAAGTCCCTTCCTCACTCCTGCAGCAGACCATGGCTGACACCGGATTGGTACCATGGATGGTGCAGTGCCAAGGGGGTGCAAACTGGGGGCTTCCCATCAGACTTCTTTGGGTTAAGATTTGATCTGGAAGCCTGCATGGGGCTCTTAGCTTTTCCAGATCAGCTAGGCTGTTCTGGATGTCTGTGAAATTCTCAGAAGAGTTTTATATCTCTAAACAGTACAAACCCTAAATTTCCTCTGCTGCATCAACTTTGTGTGCATGTTATAGTGAACATGGAGTTGAGTCTGTAAAATTTCTCTTTGGTGTGGTTGTGAGAAGAGGGTGGGCAAATGGATTAAAGGCCATCTAAAACCTTTCAATATCATATGGTGATTCTGAAAGGAATGTCTCTGTCTTTTGTGTTTAACCCCCTCATAGTCCTGTTTCTTCTCTCCAATTCTTTTGAACCCTATTGCAGGCAGACAGGCAATACGAAATCCCACAGCCACATAGACTGTCTAAACAACCAAAAGATGCTTTCTTGATTGAACAAGTCTTTAGTCCTCATCCCTACCCTGCATCACTCAAGTCACACATGAAAAGCAACCCACTCTACACAGACATGAGGCTGACAGAGCTGGCTGAAGTGAAACGTTCCCAGCCATCATGGACCATAGAGGAATACACGAGGAATTCGGGGGATAAAGGCAAGATTGCAGCATTGGATCTACAAGTGAGTCCCATTTGTTTAATTTGAATGGCTTGATGGTGAATGGATGTTGCCAGAATATGCATTTAAGAAGGGATTTGGATAGCTCAGGATAGAGCTATGCAGTGATGAGCTTCTAATCTTGCTGATCCCTATCCATCCTGGCCAGGGACAAAGAAAATGTGGATATTTGATCGCTGAATGGTGATCCTTGACAGGTTGGTGCTCCCAGCATATTCTGCAATGGAGAGGTGTCTGCTAAGCCACTGTGGTGTTAGTAGCTCTAAAGAAGAGTTTAGGGGTAAAGAGGTGCAGAGGTGAACCAGTCCCTAGCTGCAGCAGGGCAGGGTGGTGCAGAAGCTGGCATTGCTGCTTTTTCTTCTATCCTTGTTTTGTCTGAATTGTTCACAGACAATCTGAGTGTGAAGGCTTGTTGCATTTTGCTAGGAAGATGAGACATAAAATACTTGTAGAAGATGTTCAATACCACGACTGTTTTTGAAACACATCATTCTTGCAGCTTTGAAGTGGCTGTTGGAAGCCAGAGTCATGTGAAGATCAGATCAGCTAATGGTCTGTCTTGTTTGCGTTTCAGTTCAGCTTGGAAGTGTGGAGGCTCTTCTGCAACAAGCAGAGCTGAGCAAGTTACTGGGAGACAAATACAAGCTTTGGATTACAATTTTCCCAAACTGGGATGTATTTGAAATCACAATCCTAATACATAACAGGCTGCCCAGACCCAGGACTGAGTGCCCCCATTGGATGCCCTCTCTAGCCTCATGAACAAGAGACATCTAGGAAGGAAGATACCTGAGCACAGGTTTAAAGAGGAAGCATGAAAAATGATATCCAAAATGTTTAAAGACCAGACAAACGTCTGTCAGTCTGTCAGACAAATGTCAGTCTGGTGCTGACCTGGGGAATTTTGGGCTCCTTGGATGCGCGTGCATGCCCCGGAGCAGAGCAAGCTGCCTCAGCTAGCTGTAGGTTTGGCAGCAGTTGGGGTACACTGACCTACAGCTCGGGGCTTGTCAGCTCCACACTAACGTGGCTCTGAGATCAGTGGTCTGTGTGGTGCAGCCATACTCGAGCAGGGAGTCTGCTCATCTCCAAAGCCTGTCGGCCAGGGAATGTGGCACGAGAGAGCCTGAGACTTGTGGCTCCACATCAGCTCCTGATGGCTCAGTGCTGAGGTACCTAACCCAGCCCCAAACCCATCAGACCAAGCCTTAGGAGAGCATCAGGATGCTATAAGAAAGACTTGGTTAGCCCAAGGATAACGGCCATGCCTCAGGACTCCATGTTAGCTGGTTTGGTGTTAAAACCATCACCCCACAGCGCTGTGGTGCAACTGCCATGAGTGTTTGTGCAGGAATTTGTGCACAATGTTTTGAACAACAAGTTCACCTCCTGGCTCGGCTCGTGCAAACTTCCCCATCCTCTGCAGCCCCTGCTCCTTGCTGTGGCTAAAGCGCGCTCGGAGAGAAGCCAGGCAGCACAGGGACCAGGCTGCATCTTGCCTCAGCTGCCTGCTGCTTTTTGGGTCTTAAAAGCTTTAGAGGGCTTATGAAATTCATAACCCTGGCATTGCAGACTGTATGCTAGAGTAAGGATGGGCTGGGAGAAGTTCCTCTGCAGCAGGCAGTCGCAAAGCATCCCTTACCTGCTGCGTGGAGACAACGAGGGAGGTGATATTTGGAGGCAAAGCTCCCCTGGGAGAAGTGTTCTCCATCTGCTCCTTGCAGGGCTGTTTCGTTCCCTGTAACCGGCTCTGCGCAACTATGAGCAAACCAGGGAAATCGGCTTATTGCCATCATTTATCTTTAGGGTAAAGGTGATAAAACTTTACCAGTTTGATTCTCTCCCTCCTAAAGGACTGTCAGAATTGCATCGGCTCCGCAAAGCCCGTGTCTAGACTTTATAATAGAGCTTACCGACAAACTTAAAAAATAGGCAGACTGATGAGAGGGGGTTTTTCAGAGTGATTAAGTTTATTAGAACTGAAAGTAAATACATTATGCTTTAATGAACATTCCTACATCTGGCAATGAAATGGGACAGGAAGCTGATTAACAGTAATGGGCCTTTTTAATAATGCATCTTCCTTCTGAAGTAGTTAAAAGGTCAATACCAAGGCAGAGAAATCCAAAACTGTAATGTCCTTGAAGCATAGCATGGCTGTCTTTGGGGTTTTTCTGCCTTTGTTTATTTAAAATTCCTCCTGGCACTTGACAAGTCTGCTGGGTTTTCCTTCAAAAACAAGAAATTGCAGAAGTACAGTCAGGCCAAAGTTTGTCCCAGGTGTGGGGTCTGTGTGAGATCTCATCGCTTTGCTCTGTGTATGATGATCCACGGGGACAAAACATTGTCAGGCTGTTTTCTGATGCCTTTAGAGATGAGGTTGTTGATTTTTTTTTCAGAAGGCTGGAACAGGTCATTCAGAGCCTGAATAGTACCATCTCAGACTCGGCTGATGGTCTCTTTCAGCATACAAGCGCTATCATAGAGATCTCCCTTAAATGGTCATAAAACTGTTGCTCAATTTTAATTGTTTATTTCTGCGGTAGCTATAAAATCACTTCTTGTAGTAGTTGTGTACATAAAGCAAACGCTGCTTTCAGGCAAAGCAAGGTTTCAGCCAGGAGCTCATAGCCACAAAATCTGAATTAGCCAATTAAAGGCTTATCCAAATCCCTCTCAAGTCAGCTGGAGTTTCTTTGTGCAGAGTCCAACAAGCTTTGGATCAGGTCCGTTACAAGCCCAGAACTCATGTGTGTTAGGATATTCTTATTGGAGCGTTTTAATGTGGAATCTTTTTCATTTAAAAAAAAAAATAAAGTCATTTTGGAGCCCCAGACACAGGAGACAGCTTTGAGGAAAAGCTGTCGTTTTTCAAAATGTTCTTTTTGCTTTATTCCTTTGTGCTCAGAAGTGCAGCATAATGCCTACTGTTTGGGTTCCCCCCATTTTTCCCCATTTTCCCTAACAGAAAGGATGAAGGGAAAAAAAGCAAGCAAGGTGGAAATGAAAAGCTTGAAGTGCTCAAATTCTAAGGAAGAAAAAACTAAAAGATTAAAAAAAAAAGCTCGGATGGAGACACTGATAAAATTCCCCAGGCTGCATTTACTTTTCTGACCAATGCAGATTTCCTTAACTTTTTTATTTTTTCTTTTTGTTGCCTGTATGGAATGTGAGAGCAAAGTCTTTAATTCCTTTAAGCATATTCTTAAAATCACCTCCAACCCAGAGAGACTCAGAGTTTGGCAATGAGCAGAGCATTGCCTCCTGTGGAAATATAGATTGTGCCACTGGGGTTAAATGGTCTCATCCATGGAGATGGTCCAGAGTAACGCGTGGTACCAAATTGTATGCCAGGTGTCCGGTTCCCCTTCTCCTCCAGCCCCTAAAACTGAGACAGCATCATGCATCCAGGTGACTTTCAGAAGATGGAGCTGGAAGGAGAACTTAAGGCTGAGGGTCACTTTGTCCCGGGTGACTTCATGGAACCCCCCTTGCAGCCCTCTCCCCGGGGTGCTCAGCACCCACTGCTGCGGTTGTGCATTCACTGGAACGAAGGGCCGGTGTCCCCAGGCGTTGCCGATGCGGAGGGGATCTGCAAAGCGGCCTGTCCAGAGGGACTGGGTGCTGGATGGGACTGGGCAATCATGCCCTGCAGGCAAGTTATGGTAGCAAAATTAAAGTTAGCTTTATAAAATATAGTGCATGAGGAGTGTATGTTAAGCACTCTTCCCATCAGCTGGGCTTTAATAATTAAAAAAGCAGTAACAGAGCAGTAGTTGCTGACATCTCTGCTGTCTAGCAGATTAAAGAGATTTTCTTTAAATGCCATCCAAGATGACGAAGTTTCCAGCATATCACAGGTGCATGAGGGATTTTGCAGTAGAATTATACTGTTGCAGGAGTTTATTTTTTGCAGGATTTTGTTACCACCTTCGTCAGCCGTGTGAAAGTGGGGGCAGGAGTTGAAGGGATGCGAGAAGCAGCAATAACCACTTTATTCTGACAGCAGACCCAGAGGCAGCTGGGAGGCCTTCAGGCACACCTGCTTTATTTATTTGTTTTATTAATGACAGATCCCAGACAATTAACAACCGTTTCCTTTTGATTTTTAGACTCAAGAATCTTTAAACCCAAACAACTTAGAATACTGGATGGAAGACATTTATACTCCTGGCTATGATTCCTTATTAAAACGCAAAGAAGCCGAGTTCAGAAGAGCAAAGGTTTGCAAGATAGCTGCCCTGATAGCAGCGGCAGCTTGTACGGTTATTCTGGTCATTGTAGTTCCCATTTGTACAATGAAATCCTGAACCTGCGGACGGACCTGTGACTCCCAGCCGTGTGCGTGTCAGATAGCTCATGCTGTGTTTCCAACGTCTGATGGCAAAACTGTAAGGAATTTGCTAAGGAGGAATGTTCTGAGGATATCCTGATGGAGAATGCTGTGAATGTAGGCAAAACACAAAACAAGAGAAACTTTTTTTTTTTAAAAGTATGATTTTAAATAACAGACTGCGTGGTGGAGTTAATGGGAACTCGGTTCAATTTTTATGCATTTTTAAATGTGCAATATTTTTTTTTCCCTAAAGAAACAATATAATGTTTTACAGAATCAGAGACCGATGAGAATCCAGGCAAAAGATTGTCTGAGCTATGTTGCATTTAACGGAGGTATGGGTACATGGAGGTGGCACTGTATAGAAGGGAATGTTCTATATGCATTACATCGGGGAGCTGAGAAAGTCTTAAAGCTCTCTACAATGTAGAAAACTCTGAATGTATTGTATTTATTTTATAGTACTTATGTATTTCATGATCATTTGATTGAAAGCAGACTGTGTAGCCATGAACAGAGTTCATTCCTATGTTCAGATTAAAAAGGGCTCTTTGTATTTGGTCTTGCCCTAAGACCCACTCTATCATCACTGAGTACTTAGATATAAGTGCAATGTGCTGCAGACCAAAAAGATTATGTTTTAAAGCAATCACGAGAGGTTTTAGTTGCTTCTGTTGAATAACATTTGCATAAAGCTGGCAAACTTGCCTTGCCAAAAGGGTATTATTTACCTCTGCAGACAGTGAAATTGTCTCAGTTTCACTCCTGCCAGCAAGCAAAGCTGGCAAATCAAAGCAACGCTCTCTTAAAGTTCTTGGAAATGGAATCTGAACAGTTATAATTTTTTTTCACAAAGTCTTTGTGCCTTTTTTTAGACTGTAGATTATATAGAAGTGTTTAATTTTGCTATTTTAAGCCCATAACATAAATCACAGCATAATGGGTACTAATGGAGGTTCTTTTCCTGCAAGCCTTCTATACAGTTCAGAGTGCTCCTCAAACAGCAGGGCTGGTGGTTACTGAGCACTTATATTAAGGGCACAGTTGTTCAGCACTAGCGGAAACTTGCTGTTAATGCAATGCAATGATCATTTGCTTCCCTCTTGCTAATGTACTTAAGAATGATGGTTGGCTCTACCGGACAGCAAGCAGGCTGCATCCCATGGGAAATGTCCATTTGATGCTCTATCCCAAATGCAAATAGCAGGTTCAAAGGAATTCTCGACCTAGGACAGAAACTACCTGCCATGGTTAGTGAAAGCAAATACCCGGACAGTATTACTCTTCTGTCAAGTATAGATTAAAAAAAAAAGGAAGAAAAAAATATTTTCAGAAAATAATATGATATTGCTGGTCCTCTAAGGGAAAAGAGATTCTTTTAGTGAATGTTCTTTATGTAGGGTAATTTGTTTTCTTCCGAAGCAGCCTCCCTAAAGCTAGGGAAGCATCGGATGCTCCTTCCTTTGGCTCTCTGGGATGTGCCGCACTCACTGTTTGTTTCTGGCTGGTTTAAAAAAAGTAGTGAGGAAAGGGTGCGTGGGAGGCTAAGGCTTTGTTGTGACTTTTGATGTGTGTCGGTTCTTTCCTGCAGCTGGAGAGCTGTTCACGTGCTGCTCGTGTGCTGGATGTTATTCGGGGATAGGTGATCCCTGGGACCGCTGATCTATCAGGAAAACAAGTGTAAGCACAGGGTGGGGTGTCCCATCAGCAAATACAGAATAAGAATAAGCCCCTAGCCTGAAATCTGCACCTGCCTGGTCTGAATCCTGACCCACATCTGTAGCTCTGGCCCATTCCTAATACCAAGATTATTTCTCTTTCCTCCCGGCTGCTGCAGGATGGAGGCACAGCAGGGAGGGAGCAGCTCACGCTGTCTATTTTAGGCTGCCTTCGGTTATGGTATGATTCAGAACACCTGAGTTTAGCAGCTCAGGATCTGTATGTAGTAAATATAGACAGGTAGAGAAACCTCTGGGGAAGATTCGGAGCCGCCAGCAAGATGTCTAATATTAGACATGTGAAAACGCTCCAGAGGGCATTGCTCTGCAGTTTACCTTATGCACAATTTAGGTTGATTGTATATGTAAAAAAAAAAAAAATAATCTATTCCTGGTTCCAGGTAATGTCAGAAAGCCCTTTGACACCCCTCCTTGGCATGATGATAGCAAGCACAAGGTGCTGTCGGAAGGAGCAGCATGGCCCTGTGGTGGCAACACTGGGCAGACCCCCTGCCTTCACCAACCCCCCCTCTGCTAGCACCAACTGTCTGGGCTTGCCCCCCCCTCCCTGAAATCAGCAGTGCTTCCTCTGTTGCATCTCAGCAATCTGATTTTAGAAAATATCTGAATATCTAAGTGGAGATGCGAGAAGGATGCAGGAGATGTTATTAATTGCAGGGGCGAGCTGGGGCTGCACTCACGCTGATGCATTAGAGGAGATGGAAGGACCCCCGTCTTGTCTGTGCAACACTCATCCCACTGGCACCAGAACAGCCTTTGCATTAGAGATGCCCAAAATCCTGGGAAGGGTTTGGGAGGTTATGGAGCTGTGGGTGATGTGGAGCTGGCCAAGCACTCAGCATCCCAAGCATCCTTCCTGCTCCTAATTTCTCACGGTGCTTTCGCCCATCCTTGCTTTGCACAAGCAGTCAGTAGCACCCGTTGCCATCGGGGCAGATCTTGGTTTGGCATAGATCTCTCTCCCATTCAGAGACTGACTTGGCTCCTGCAACCTCTGTGTGTTTGTTGGTGGTGCTGGGAACCTGAGGGGAGTGGGGAAAGCCGAGCCTGGCTCCCTGCCTCCCCGCTCTGCATATACCTCCGGGAGCCGCCGCCACCTTGCCTCTCCTCCGCTCCCCGGCTGTCTCCAGCAGCTCCTCAGCACCACTGGGATGCGTGTCCCTTGCCATTCCCAGCATGTTTTACATCTGGCACACAGCTCTTCGCTTAAAATAGGTGCAGAGACGGAGCGGTGGGATGCTGCTGGTGGAGGGGAGCAGCCTGGGAAGGAGGAGCCCACAGAGTGTACAAGCGAGGTCCTGACAATATTAACCTGCAAGAATATTGTGATCAACCTTGTGAACCAGTTACCAACTAGTACATACTGTATACTATATGATAGACTTTTGTATAAAAAAGAATAAACAAATTAAAGCTATAGATGCATTGTAATCCTTGTTGTGATTAAAAAAAGTGTCCTAGATTGTATTACTTAATTAAAATAATGATGAGCATATTGAACTGGTTTTTGTATTTATGCCTTATAAACTTGATATATTACACATGATAAAATGAAACTGCAAGAATTATAAAAGAGATACTCCATTTTGGGGGCAAATCCCATTTGCTTTTCCTAAAACAGGAGTGCTGCTTGAAATCAGCTCAATAAATCATTTGTGCAGAAGAGCAAGAGGAAGATCTGCCCCCAAATGACTTTTTAGGATTTTTTTTTTTAATGGGGCTTTGGTTAATGTACTATGTAATAATTTTATTTTATAATGTTACTGTACAATGTTGCCTTTTGGTTCATTTAAATATAATACCAAATAAACTTGAAAATTACAGCGTCCTAAGGTTTAATGAAACAGTTGTAATAATTTATTACTCCATTGCTTCCCTCTTTTTTTTTTTTTTCCAGGGACATCAAGATAGCCATGGGATGTGAGTGTCTCAGTGTTAGATAACTAAGCAGCCTATCTAGTTCTTGGCAGAATTGCTAATGGATTTCTCACTTGTGAAATAATAAGATGGCAGAAGATAATGAAAAATGAGTTTGTTGGGTTTCTTTCTCCTTTGCATCACATTGCCTGTGCTTCTGGAAGATTAGCTCTTGACACTAATCATAGTATTTCATTTTATAGGTTAGTTCATGACTAAGTTTTGCCATATCAACTGCTTTAACAAGGTCATGACTAATATTTTGTTATCTATTTCACTATATGTTTATGCAACCGCTGTCCCTTTTAAGTCAGTACTAGAGATAACTATTTATAGTCACCTATCAACAGGCAATCAGTTTGCTTAGGATCTCTATATGAATTTAATTTGTTGCTTTTGATGTGTTAATTGCAAAACCAGGTGTTGAAACAAAGAGCTGAGCCCACCACTGATGGTAATCCAGCATCAGAGGTTGCAAAGGGGAGCCACAGAAAAGAGGACGTATATAAATAATGAACAGTGACATGAAAATGTAGTAATGTAAGATCTTGATTTCCTCATTTCTACAGCATAAGCACCTTTAATGCATGGCTTTAGCAATCCTGGGCAGGATGGGGATGGCCATGTGCTCCCTGTGGGGCTGGTATGCCAGCTCCAGCCTTGGCTGCTCAGGTGTCATGAGTCAGCCTGCAAACCATCACAGGTGCCCTTGGGGGGACTGTCATTTTTGGAGATGATAGCATGGATTTGCATCAATTTCAGGTTTTTCTCTTGTAGCCATGAAGTCCAGAATCTTACAAGTAGAAGTGGCCTCTGGAATTTTGTGTTACAGCATGAATCCAGGAGCAGGAACTTTCATTAAAATGCTAAGTGAGACAAGGCTTGTGCCAAAAAATCCTAAGCACTCTGGCACAGCATTCTTCAGCCAAGAAGCTGGACAGGTAGGATATATAGACCTCATCTGGGTCATTGCTGTGCTGGAAAATGGGGTTGCTGCCAGGTTTGTGCAGTAGCTGCTGTATAGAGTCATTGGGTCTCAGGGTAGAAGCAAGCTCCTACGTGCAATGCTCTGTCAGACACCAAGACCCAGCCCTGTGCTGCTTTGAATGTATTGCTCACAGCAATTAACTGTACTGGTTGAATAAATTCTTTATTGCAGGTATAGCTTTGATGAATGGCTCTGCTTGATGCACAAAAGAGTCACAAGTGAAATATTGTATCTCAGGGCCATATTCTGCCCTCTGAGGTGCTCCTGTGACTCCATCCTATTGAACCGGCACATGGAAGAATAGAAAGAAGAACATAGCCTGCCTGGAGCAGCATGGTCCTATTGAAAGGAAAGGTCAGTTGTGTTAGCGTGCACTTTGGGAAAAGGCAAACACCTGTGGAAGTAATCATAAAGATGAATTATTTTCTTTAATCTTATTTTTTTCTTTGTTATCTTTTCAGGAAAGAGCATTATATCTTGTAAAGTGCTGCTCTGCTATTAGTTCTCCAGCAAGCTTGGTCACTTCAGATGACTTCTGGGACAGTGGACAACTTGATCTCTTCCAGGCTGTTACAGCAATCTTTACAGACCAGTTAGAAACTGGAGAAAAATCTTCAAAAAAGGAAGAAGTGGGCTGTCAGTAGCCAAGCTCCTCCCATAGGTAAGTTCCATTTGATTTTGTTTTTTGCAATATAGCAAAAACTACACGTAGGAGAGCCATGAAGCTCTTCTAAAAGCAGCAGTACATCCAACCCTTCCAAGAGCAGTAGACTGAGATTTTCAAGGAAGACTGGTTAATGATTCTGGACGAGTCCAGCACAAGAAAACAACTGTGGTTGGCATGTGTGTGGTACCACCGGGCATTGCTGGTTCTGGTGGACCGGCAGTGGATGCGATGAGGAGATGCACAAGGTTCTCTGCTGGACCAGGGAATCTGTCCATGAGACTTAATGCAGTGTAGGGATGAGGGAGAATGGTGTGGAGAAACGTCTCTGAAGACATGGT